TCTCCTTTTTTGTACAGCAATGTGATGACTCCCCTGGTCATGGACTTTTCTAGCTGACCTCCTGATAGAATGTCGCTATATAGCTGCACTATGTTTTGTTCTAGCGTCTCCCAACACGAGAGAAAGAATTATAGGGTCAATCCGTCATCCACTAATGCCTTCCCTTTGGCCATCTCTTTGAGTGCTTCCCTCAGTTCTTGTGTTGAAATAGGTTTGTCTAAGCTCCTTTTGCCTTCCTCTGAGAGACTAACTTCTAACGATTCTCATAACGTTGATTCGGTTGCCAGGTCTATTTCCTAATCCAAAAAGGACTTTCTTGTGGCCAGGATGTGTCTGAAGTAATCCGCCACATATTCGCACATGTCCTCATTTGACTATGTTGTAGCCAGACCCAACAAATGTGGATGTTGCAATTTCCTCATTGGTGTGAGCTTCTATCCCGGGAGCAATCTTTGAAAGTTTTCCTTTGTCATATGATCGTTTGTGACGATCCTTTTTTCCCTCAGTATCTGGTCCCGCCTGTTTTGTTTGTTAATTTGAAAATTTTTCCATGTCGGTAGTCTTTCAATTCTCTCCTCCGCCCAACACAACTTTGAAATCGGGTGGTTCCTCATGTTCACTTCTGTCTCTTCCACCCTCATCAGGTGTGCTCACTCCTCCTTGTTTCTTAATAACGTTGCAATCCTAAAAAATACCTGAAATTTATGCGAGATTATTCTCAAGCTCACATCCCACTAGTCTTCGAACGACTCAAAGTGTTCTCATGTTTGTTTTCAATTTCGCCAGTGTTGTTTGACCACTCCCCCCAACGTTCCTCTTCCAGGTTCATTTTGTTCAACTTGAAGTGTCATGGACCCCTCTCTTTCCTTGCTGACAGTTTCACTTCCAGTCGTACTGGCTTATGATCCGACATGGTGGTATTGCTTTTCTGTACCATCAATGCGTTGAGGGTGAAGATGTGTGTTGTCGAAAAAAAGTATAATCTTCTCTTGACTTATGCTAACGTTGACGCACCGATGAACCACATGAACCCAGATTCCAATGGATGCATTTCCCTACAAATATCGGTTAGATCCCATTTTTCTTTCCAAGTCAGAAACAACTTTCTGTCTTGCCAAGGAGAATCTACCGCCTCCAAGTCAAGGTCTGGGCTACTTACCAAGTTCCAATTCCCTCCGATTACCATGTGATTTATCATAGGGAGGCAATACGGTAATGCCTTGATAAATCGCAGTCTTTCTTTCGGCTCATTGGGAGCATATATTGTCGCTACCACGCATTCTACCTCCTCTATCAATAGTTCAAGCCAAACCCATTTGCCCCAAAAATCTGAGTTAAAATCTACGAGCTCTGCTTCTAGACATTTGTGGACTAAGATAGTTGTTCCCCCTTTGGTCCCTCTGGCTCGAGACCACAGCTGGGGGCCTTCCCACCAATCTGCACGTTGAGTAAGCTTAGCTTCAAAGAGTTTGGTTTCCTGGAGGAAGATTACGTCTAGGTTCTATTTATGAATCCGGCGTTTTAGGTGTTTTCCCTTTTGCTTCCCTCTTGTGTCCCCCAACCCTCTAGCATTCCATGTCCCTATTCTAATTATCCCTATCCGGTGTTGCTTCCTCTGTGATCACCTCTTGGAACCACTCTTCCTCTAAGCAAATTTCCTCGGCTCTCTCCTTTGAAGGGTTGATGTACTGCCACTTCTTCGTCAGCACCTCCTGTGCAAAACCCGATTCCAGATTTCGATCGAGGGATATTTTCTCGTTGATAGGTCTCAAGAAGTAATTTTCTACGCTCGACTCCGTCACCATGTTCTCTAGTTCTTCATCAGATTCTCCCAACGATGATCTCATTGGGATGCAGGTTAACCCAATTGATGGTAGCCCGACCCAGTGTGGAACTGGTATGTGGGCATCAACCAACGGGATATAAAACTTGATCTTCCTTCCCTCGAGTGTGTTGATGGTGACTTTCGGTATGACATCCTCCGGACATAACCTGAAGCAGAATTAGTCCGCATACATCTGTCTCACTCTCCCTTCGATCATCTCTGGCGATGGTGTCCCATAGAACGGGGTCGATGGCAACACCGTTTTCCCACTGTGATTGATTAATCCTAAGACTAACGCTTCCTAGCTTAGTAGCATGCACACCAGAGGGAGTAAGAACTTTTCCTCAAACAACTTTTCTCCGATGTCCCTGGTGGGAACCCCACCTGGGATTATGCATCTTCCTTCCTTGGTGAATTGTCTCTCTGCGTGTGAGGCAACTCCCCGACCTTGTGAGGAGCTGGCCGTGTGTTCTTCCACCACTTGGGCCTTCGCCCGGAGGCCTCTCTGCTGCTGACCTCAAGAATCGTCCACCGCAACCTCTCATTCCTCCAATCCTGCAAACGATATAAATCCATTTTGTCCTCCCACCGTTGCTCCCAGTGGAGCCCTCCCCCTCACCCCGTACGTTGCATGTACTCCACCTGTGTAAACCAATTGCGGAAATTGGTATCCTGGTGGTCCTGCATTCGTCCATCCACCATAAGACGACTCCCCTTCCCGCGGGCGATGCCAACTCGGATTTTGTTGAATAACCGATCAGTAGGGATCTCTTTCTGCCGTGATGGAATTCCACCCCCTTGGGTGAGTACCTCTGCCCCACGTAAATGATAGTTCCTTGTTGTGGAAGGCGATTTCTGGCATTGGATGCTTCCTCTTCTCCGAACTCTTGTTCTTCTGCTCCTGGACATCCTAAAGTTTCTGTATGAAACCACATTTGACACCTCTTGCACCATGGAGTGTTTTTGCATACACATTGGACATCGTATGTCTCCCCATCGTCCAATCTCATCAGGAGTGTCGGTTCAAAGCGTTCTTCTGCCTACCTTGCCAGGTCGAACTTCAAATTCACGAGTCTTGGTCTCGACGGGTCTAGTTCTGGTGGATGGCGATTGATGAGTTCTCCCTTCGATTGCGCCACCAGATCTCCTACATGAAACATGGCTCTCAGAAGAATTCTCAACACCGTAAACCAAAACTTGGTATCATCCTCTCTTCGGCGCTGTTCTTGCAATTCGGTCCTGGTCATCCAAGGTTTAAACAACATACGATATTTTACTCCTCTAATGACCACAACATCATCCGCCTTAGCCACCAACCACTGCGCCACTTCTCTCAACTTTGCCACATATGACATGACATTCGGACCTTCCCTGTGCACCCGACCTCTTGAATCCTCTAGTGAAAATCTTTTTCCGGAACCACCCATTCTCATATGCTCGAACTAGGTCTTCCCTAATTCTCACCAGTAGGTCCCTCGCTTGGCCCTGGAAGATAATCGTCACCATTGGCTCTTTTAGCCAAGCTGTTGCCAGTCTGTCTATTTGGGTGTTGACTTTGAAGATTCTAATGCCGTTCTCGATGACGAATTTGCCGTGCCTTAGATTTTCCGGGAAGATCCCATCCTTGTAGTACTTGGCGATTAAAAATCTCACTCTATCCTCCTCCGACATCAGAACCTCGTTAGCTTCTGGTCTCTCCTGCCTGTTTCCTTGCTCCATCGTGTTAGGCCTTCTTGCTTCTTTCTGATCCCGTTCTCCTTCTCTCACTGATTCTTCGCTTCACGGGCGGGCGCCTTAACGACGGCGCTCGCCCACTGCTGATTCTTCCTGCTCTTCTCTCCTAGTACACACGGATTTACCTGAATTCTACAATAGGCCGGCCGACATGTCGCCATACCTCCCTTCCCATCGGGTTGGTTGCTTGGGTAGTGCCAAGCAAGGTGACTTCACTATCATCTGGACATCATGATGGTGCCCCGAGTGCTGGGCCGAACTGGTGTCACCCGGTAGCGCTAACTGCGAGCGCCGCTGGTGCCATTGGCCGCGCCCCCCCTGCGTACCCAGTTTGCACATTTTTGAAAAAATGCCTACCGTTTACCGAGGATGCTCTTCTCACTCTCACCTCCCTCAGTGGAGTTGTGTTCAGAAAAAAAAAAGAACAGGAAAAGAAGTTAGAACTTGCTGTGAGACTGCTAACTGTTTTCGTTTTGCGTTTCCTTTTTGTACTAGTGTGGTCTCTCCTCTGAGGAACCAAACTACATTTATGATTTATCTATCAGCTATGGACCTTCCGTTTTTCTTTTTGTTTGGCTAAATTATGAACGTAGCTACCAGTCGGGCTGCTCCCAGTTGTCCCTGCGCAATGAGCGCCACTACCCTTTTCCTCCTCCCCCCTCCTCCTCTCTCCTCCAACTCCCCCTCCCCTTACCTCCTCCCCCTGCCTCCCCCTGCAGGCTTTCCACGAGACGAGGCCGTGGAGCTACAGCTACAGCTGGAGCTGATGGGTTTGGCGCACTGGAGCGCGAACTCCGAGGACTGGTTCAGCCGGAGTGCTACCCGGCTCTCGGCCGACTTTTGGCGGCCAAATTGCACCTCCCAATAACCACTCTCTCCTTGCAGCCACAATTTTCGGCCGAAGGGGGCCATAACCGTTTGGACAGGAAATTTATGCAAAACAATTCTTTCTATCATGCTGTCGATTCGAACCGTTTTCCGGCAAGCGCGCGCTGGGCGAATTTCGGCGAATTTCCTTCTTTTCAGACGCCGCGCCGGTCGCCCGACGCCTGACGCCTGGCGCCCTTAGTGACCGGTAGCGCGCACTTTGGTCGATCGGTGGGGGATTGTGCTTGAACCACTCACTTCCCTAACGTGCTTACCTAGACGAAACTCCCCAGCCGTCGCATCGCTGGCCAATTGATAGCTAGCCTGTTGGGGCGGGGCTAAGTTTGTTTGTCAACCTATCTCTGCGACCTGACATGTAGTAGTCCGAGGGTGAGGAGAGACGGAGAGAGTAGCGGAGCGGAGAGGTGGGGAGAGAGAGAGTAGGGGAGCTGACTCGAGTAAGCAGGGAGAGGGACCTAGGATTGGGGACAGCAGTGCATTGTTCATGCGACGTAGGTAGGGTAGGGGGTCATCGTCATGCGACCCTGCAGCTCGTCGCGTGTTACCTTGTAGTGTAGGTGCTGCACCCACTGACGCGTGTCGTGGTCCCACCGGCGCAGCAGGTGAGGTTCACATCCCAACCAAACAATGGAGGAGGGTAGCCGGAGGAGGGAGGAGAGTTTGCCGCCGCAGAGGCCACCACCGTTTGGGAGCGGAGGTGGTTCTCCACCTCCTGCCAACTCGCCGGCAATTTTCGGGGAGGCGTCCAACAACGGCGAAGTTGAACCTGGGCTGCTATCTAAGCGCCCTTTTGCCACGTCGGCAATCCCGACCGACTGCAGCCCGGCTGTAGCGTCTTTTTTCGAAGGAATGGGATTTGCAGCGAACGCTGTCGTCGCCGGCGATGATGGGAGTGGTGCTGAGCTGGCAGATCCTGTCGCTGAGGTCGAACAGCTGGGCGCGCGCGCGGCCGCGGCGGGAAGAGAAGCGGCGGCGTTTTCGCAAACAGAGCCAGCTGAGCTGTGCGCCTTAGCCCGCGAAGGCGGGGGGTTACCTCCATCGAACGAGGCGGGAGAGCGAGTGAAAGGGGGAGGTAATCATCCGGGGATTGACGAAGACATCGTAGTTCTTAGATCTATCGAGGGGGATGCCCAGGGGGAAAATAATGGGACGGATATGGATGCCGAGGTGGAAATGAGGGGAGATGAGAAAGGTGAAGAGGAGCTCGTCGAGGGGGTAGCTGCTGCTGCGCCGCCGGGCCGCGCCCCGTCAATCGAGTGCGAAAGGGTAATAGAGAATACGACGGCGAACAACGCGAACCGGGAGCCCGACTCTGGCGGGAAGTAAGTATTACATTACAATATGTGCTATGTGAGTAATACTGTATGTGCTGTATCTTTCACGGACAGTGATTGTTACAAATTGCGAAACGTAAATGAATATATCGTCCTGTAACTGAGCAACAATTTTGTTTTGGCAAATACATACATTGACAGTCATAATCAGGTGCGTAGAAATATATCCCAAGTATGTATGTAACGTATACCGACATCTTGTATGCTTTGTATGTTGTGTGTGTGTGTGTGTGTGTGTGTGTGTGTGTGTGTGTGTGTGTGTGTGAGAGAGAGAGAGAGAGAGAGAGAGAGAGAGAGAGAGAGAGA